CCACGCTGGATGAACCAAAGGATGAAAGAACGACACAAGGATCTTCTCCAGGCTACTTTTTTGTACAATGATACCAACGATCGTCGTTATCTCTGGGAGATCAATCTCAAAGATTGTTGGTACGATTCAACCATACCTGGTCCCAGTTCTGACTCTGACAGTACCAGTTACACAAGTGAMCACAAGRCGGAGGACAAGATCATGGAGACTCTTGAGGTCAAGCGCCCAGCTGCATTAGCATTTGTACCAGTTGATATGAAAGGGAGATGGCTGTTTGAGAAACCCTTTGGGACTCAATTACGCGGTTCCATATTGGGGAAAGAGGATGAAAATTATGCATTAAAGGCAGGGTGTTGGGTGAACGGAGCCTTTTCAGTCGACAAGCCCTTCATAAAAATTGAAGAGAATGAAGACGGTACTAAAAGTAAAAATCCAAAGCATCAAGAACCCCCCCAAGATCTACTGGCTTACCATGCCTACACAAATCGGCTAGCAGAAAGGGACAAAGCTCCAGTTCAACRGGGTTCTATTGTCAATGACACCACAGTTACATCAGGGGGGAGGCTCACCCAACTGAGGCTGGATGGATCACTTGATCATATTCCAATTGAGCCTAGGCCAAAGCAAAAATGTACTCTGCACAGATGGTTAGGTTTTAGAAAAGAGGGAAACCTATTGTACTGTAGAGNGGTCTGTCTGTCTATCAAATTTAGCATTTCTATTAACGGGAATCACCCAATGTTTACAGGAATGACCCATTGTCGTGTAAAATAATGCCATCATTGGGTCATTCCCGTTAGTCTAGACGGTCTACTTTTTGGAAGACAGACAGACAAAAAAGAGACCATCTAGTCTCAATTTTTAGACTTTCTGTAAGCCCCCCCCCCCGGCCTTACACAAAGTCTAAATCTAGACCAGAATCCAAGAATCAAAATCCGTTGTAGGACTCAACTGAAAAGACCTGCCAAATTTAAGACTGGAATAAATTTTTACTACGTTACTAAATCTTTTCTTAAGAATGAAGAAAGCGCCGGCGCCATCATGGTGGAAGACATAAAGACACCAGAAACAAAGATGTCCCCTGTCTCAGTCACTGCTCTATACATTAGGCTGAAACAAAGAAAGGCGCAACTGCTGGAGGCACTGTCTCAAGAAGACGAGACAGCAAGGATGGCAGGGGAAATCCCTCACACAATATTCATTCTGAAGAGGATGTCAACTTGTACTGGTCCTTATGCAACCATTCCTCCATGTAATGGGGGACACTTTCCTCCAGCAGCGGCTGCACCAGTCCCTCCCCCGGGAGGTCAATCAAAAGTAGAGGGGTCAGGCCGTAAGGCCGGTACTGCAAACTACTCGGAAAAAGAGCTCATCTCATTGATGACTCTCATCAAGGAGATCCTCCCCATTGGTAAGAGTGATTGGGACATGGTGGTTTATAGACATGGACAAGACTGGCCCTATGGTAGGTCAAAGGAATCCATTAAGACCAAGTTCAATCGATTGAGGAGAATGAAGACGCCTACTGGGAATCCCAATATTCCTGAGTCAGTCCGGCTTGCAAGAGAGGCCCATCACTTGATTGGGATCAAGGCAAACATTGGTAATGGAGAGGAGACCTTTGATCCAGTCAAAGGTTACATCGATGATGAGGATGATGAGGATGATGAGGACTTGGATGAGGACTTGCAGTACGCTTTGACTCCAAAAGCAAGCAAATCAAGCAACAAAACAGCATCGACTTCCGACTTGACCGCCATTGTCAATGGCAAACAAGAGCCCATTGTCGTGACAGCAACACCAAGAAAGAGATCTTATGGAAGACTGAAGAAGGAAATTGCTGAACAGGATGCTGTTCTTTAGGGTTACCTCATGCAACAGGATAAGAGGGACGCTGACAGAGACAAGAGGGAAGCTGAAAGAGACAAGAAGGCTGATGAGCGCGAAGAGGCAAGAGACAAGAAGGCTGCTGAGAGGGAAGCTGAAAGAGTGAAACGCAAAGACGCAAGAGATGAACGTTGGCTTACCATGGCCAAAACCATTACAATGGCGCTAGCTGGTACCATCCACAAGCGCCAGCGCACAGCAGACAGTGAATCCCATGGTGATAGTGACTAATTTTGATCTTCTTGTTAGCAATGATTAACAATTACACGATTACAAGGTTACAATTCCACATACAGCAAACAGCAAAATAATGAGCTCATCGATTAGCAATTAGTTCTTTCTTACTATGCGTTACACTGTGTTGTTCCAAATTTTTGCCGTAGTTTCCTGTGGTGCTAGTAGTAATATCAGTTTTCTTGCATACCTTTTGTGGGAGTGATGGGTTTTCATGCATACCCTTTGTGGGATCCATTGTAACCAGAATATACTGCAATGAAGACAAATATCTTAAGCGCAAAGACGGAACAATGCGATGTCCAAATATATAATGTAATAAAGATGATGTATGATGCAACCAATGCATGTGGGTGCCGATCAGTGCATGTGAGTGCCAATCAATGCATGTGATTTGAAAGCGAACCCCCAGTTCGTGGGATTACAACGCACTTGCTCAGTATTTCTAATCCCAGTTTCATCGGTACTATCAGCAAAATAGGGAACAACACGGTGTAATGCGTAGTAAAAAAGAACTAATTGCTAATAGATGTTGCGTTGAATCGAATGAGCTAGTATCGATGCTGTCACTATTTCGTGTTAAACTACTGCTAATCACTATTCAAGACTCCTTGTCAACTAAACAGAGCTCGACCAAACTAACCAACCTTGCCCACCACCATGGTGGACGATAGTATTACTGTAAGTGTGTGAGTCGCTGCTGCGTTGAATCGTTGTTGCTCCTGGTGTGTTGAATTGTTGTTGCATTGGATCGTTGTTGCTGCGTTTGCGTTTCGCGTTTTCTTTGAATTGATTCGCGTTTTCTTTGAATCAATCCTTAATCAATCTAACGAACTGTTCTTCTTGACCATGGGAATTATTAAAAGAATGCATTGTTTCCAACTGGAGACACGGTCCTCCCTGCATGGAAGTATCCAGCAGCAAGACCATGAAGTTCATTCGGCTTATCCATTGACTCACGGGTCGCTGGCAGCATCTTCATGAAGACTGTCAAGATCTAATTATGCCCAATGGTACTGCATTGGTAGTTGTTCAAGTTGATCATTAAGTGAATGATCACCTTCCTCTCCCCAAAGTCCTCCAACCTAAGTCTATCCTTCATCCTTGGGAACTGCCCCTGGATCATCCTCATCCCCCACTCGGACATCTGCCTCAGCGATGTGGCGTCCCTATTCATTAGGAGCTGTTCTTCCCCCTCGGGATCTGTTTGAGAACTTTGAATGAGGAAGGGCCTTCCTAATAAGCCAAAAGCTGAATCAACAACCACCTTTGACCCTCCAGCACAGTCTGCGTCCAACCTCTCCATCTTCTCGTAGATCCCGTAATCACTGATGGTGCTGTCATGCCACGTGCCAGGGCAATTGAAAGTTCCTATCCGGATCCTACCATCTGGTGCAAAGACAAACACCCCATTCACGTAAGTATCTGCTTTCCATCCATTAAAGAAGACCTCTTGTCTGAGCCAGTCTTCTGAAGACTGGATCTCCACCTTGAGCCCATCTGCTGCTGCCCAGACGCGTTGTTCTTCAAGTCTTGGATATTTTGCTCCAATTGCTCTAACATATTCATTGATTTCTTGCTTACTTGGCAGACTGACCATGGCAAGTGGATGTTTGTGAAGCACTGATAGGAGGATCCTCATGGAGAACTTGATCCATTTGTACATCACGGTCGATGTAAGACCAAACGCCATTGCCATTCCTCTTGCAACAGATCCTCTAGTCCTGTACCAGAAGAGCACTAGCCCAAGACAACAAGTAGCATCCGCCTCTCTTGGCTTTCCCATCTTCTTTCCACTCCTAGTGGGGGGAGGAAGAAGAACAATCTCATTGGTTCTTGTCCTGTTCACTGAGTACCTGTTGAAAGCTGGACCAAACAGCTCTAGAAGATCCCTGAAGACCTTGTGGTCTACACCACAGCAGTTGAGGAGCGCTTGGTCATTCCCTGACTGGAAGAGGAAGACAAAGGAGGAGTCGGCATATCTCCTAATTGCAATCCTAGGCGTTTTTCTGTCCCTCCTGCGTCCCTCCTCTGTTGGAGTCTTTTGTTTGTCTTCCCATTCCTCTACCAAGCGTCCTCTATGCTTGATTGCCCAGTATATGCAAAGTGTTTCAATGACACCCATTGTATCTCTTTTGTTTGCTGGGAGGCAAGTCTTGTCTTTTGTTTAGGGAACAGCTCAAATTTGTGAGGAGCGAGGTTGTGATTTTTACACTAGTAGTAGTACGTAGTAATTATCGAAAATTTTGGTATTGAAAATTTCATGTTTTAATTACTAGTACCTGCGGGCGCGTTTTTCCAGTCTAGTCATTTCTGTTGAGATTCCGGATTCCTTAAAAGTAGAAGAGCGCCAAAAATTCTGTCCGTTGGGGGCCTGTTTTTAATTATTCCCGTTAAACTAAGAAGTCTAAAAGGTCTACTTTAGACTTTTAGACCATCTAGACTAACGGGAATGACCCATTCTTCACTCACTACTACTACCCTACAAAAGAACAACCCAGTCGTTGTACGAAACTCGTGTTTTTTTTCTGCGTGCCGATGCACACCTACGTAAATTTATGTTTGCGGGAATCCACTTCCAATGACTTAGTCGATCGGCATGAGAGTGGYGTACATATGCGCGACTAGTACTCGTAATACTCTACGATTGTTAGACGAAATRTTGTTTCCAAATCACCCGGAGGTACCGTATCTTAATACGATGGAATACGCATCGTAAATTGAATCCATTAGGTGTCTGTTGGTTGGTTCTTAGTCCAAATTATTCACGAACATGTGATCCAAATTTTTCGGATGATTCGTGCACATAAATAAATCCGCGACCAACACCTCATTTTTAAGAGTGAATCTTCTTATATAATATCTTAAGTAGCGACTATGATAATATACGTTTCTGTATATTTTCCAMGGCCCTTTAACCAATCCTACTCACATTTTTTCTATCACAATATCGCCAACTCCAAAATTCATCTGGGCAAGAAAATATCGTACCGATGCTGTCTGCGGTTCCGATCGTTTTTACTCTCAGAACTGAGTGCATGCAAGGATTCTTCTGTATATCACACCAYAATAYCATAAATCATCGTGGTGGTCAACACATCAAACTTGATATCAAAAGCCTTACACACAAAACATWAAGGTGGAAGCAACAAAATGAAGTTTTCCTTCTCTATTTTTTCCCTCGTCCTCATKGGAAGTGCGGTTGACGCCGCCGTCAAGCCCCACCGTGGGGCCGCACTACGCAACGAACACAAAAAGTTCAAGCAGCAACAAGACTTCATGAGAGCTATCCATGCTGACGGAAAGCTCGCTGCTGCTTCGAGAAAGAAGCGCGAAAACGAGAGAAAGCGCAAACTGATGGACAAACTGATGGAAAAGGCCGTTACGAAAGCTGAACACGAAAAGCGTCAAAAGCGTCACCTCGACCAATACAACTCAGAATACAGCTTCGACGAATATGAATGGATGAACCCTGTATACCAGGAGATGATCSAAGATGGAGTCTTCGACCTTACGGCACGCTCCTTCAAGTACTCTGGATGTGCAGCGATCAAGGCCTATGACCCTGATCGTGCTGCGSAAAACGGCAATCCCATGGTTGTTGACACATACKCTGTCTTCCGACTCTGCCCAGAAGATTCTTGCAACAAGTATTCTTTGACCGGGTGTGGAAAGAACTACGGAGAATACGTGGTCGAGATGTCCACCTACCTTGAGTTCATGCTTGAGTTCTACGAGACTCATTACGGAGCWTACTGCGATTACTGCTACCCATGTGACTACAACTACCAAATCCAGAAGAAGCAAACACAAGGACAGTGCTATGAGGACATGGCCCAAGCCGATTACGCCATGGAGCAAGATCAGCAGGCAATGGCATGGGAGGACTACTACAAACAGAACTTTGGCGATATGTCTCAGTACACCCAAGCGAAGCAGCAATACCAGCAACAGATGCAACAGCAGATGAATAACKCATACCAATCAGGAAATAACAATGCTTACAACAATGCGTACAATGCCAAYAGTGCCAACGGCTACAACGCCAACAATGGAGGCAACCGTAAATTGGATGGATACTACAGCAACTTTGCTGGTAAGTACAAATTGAAAAAAATCTCGCACGAAGTCTAATTTCCCAAATTCCTGGTCTAACAACATTTTCTCCTTTTCGTTCATTTAACAGCTTACTCTCAAGAGAACAACAGCAACGACGATGCTGTGAACAGTGGCAACAACGCCTGGCAAAACGGTGGCCAGGTCAACGGACAATCTTACTACAACATGATGAACCAACAGATGCAAATGAACGGCCAAAACCCAACTTATGGATACATTRACGAAAACGGAGAGTACGTCGACCTTTGCGAKGCCRACGGTTACACCGACGAAAACGGCAAAGAATACAACATCAATTGCRATGYTTACCAAAGTAAAATGATGAAGTGCAGTGATGGAAATCTTTGTGATTACTGTGAATACCAAGTTGACCAGMAGTACGATCCTTGCGATGAATACGTGTGYAAGGATTACTACAACTACTGCTCTGACTTGTACGAGCCRAATTACAAGCAGATGTACAACGACGGAAACCAAAACGCCAACAACAAYAACAACGGTCAATACAACTACCAGCAGGCACAAGAGGCGAAGAGTGATTTGTACCAGTTCCTCGAGTGCTCTCAGTACGTCGATGAATACGGTCAAGAGTTTTATGTTGGTCCTCACTGTGGATCTGATCACTACACCATTTCCCTTGGTGTTTTCTCCGATGAAAACTGCGTCAACTACATGGGAGAAACCATTTCTCTTTCCAAGGTTCTTGGATATGGTTATGACGAGGAATCCTTCTTCCATCTTCCCCACGAATGCATTTCTTGTGATGGAGCACAMCAATTCGAAGAGGACGAAGAACGCTACCAAGAAATGTACACCGGACAAGGTTTTTACGGAGARTATGTCGAAGCTCCCAACTCTGAATTTGACGATGTTGTTGGTATGTGTGCTGCCCTCTTCGAAAGAAGTGCGCAGTGCAACATTCACATGACCAACTACGGCATGATGTCCAAGTACATGGAGACCATTGATACCGAATACGAACAACGTTACTGTAACTTCATCGACAACATTGTATACGGAACCTACAACGAGAACGGAGAAATCAAGTTGAAGGCGGAAGCTTTCGACTTCAACGACTGGCGCAACCCCGATCAATACAAGAAGATGGAAATGCCTGTTGGACAAGCCGTCGGTTTGGCTCTCAGTGTTTTGCTTGTTGTTGCTCTTTCGGCTTTGGCCTTTGTCACCCAGCGATCCCTCACCCGAGGTGGTTCCACTCCGTGGAGACCAAGACGCATGTTCAAGAAGAACAAGGACCTCGAAGGACAAGAAGGAATCTCCATGGATCGCGCCGCGACCAACCCTCCTTTGATCTAAGAGAGGCATGCAATTTTTGACTCTTGAATATCGTGAAACCCTTTCATTTGAAATTTACTACAAATATATGTATACAATGTAAAAAGTTTAATTATTCTATCAACCATATCGTACTTACTACCATCAACTCTCGCGTACGCGACTAGAACACCGATTTTTTTGTGTAGTGTGTAATGAAATAAACGATGACACATATCAATTCGTGACACAGTCAGTCGTGGTATATTGAGGTTTCTATCGTACCACCTTTATGTAACATGGCAGTATTAAAAAAAAAAAAAAACTTAATATTATATTTAACCTCGTGAACTAGAAGAGGCACTAGGAAGGCCAGAACCATTGCGTTCATGAGAAAGAATGCTTCCAGCTGCTCCGAGGGGCGGCGCATCCCTCCGAGGAGTTGTTATGGAGGCGCGACCATAACATGGCAGTATTAAAGTACGGTACTACGGTGTGAAAACAAAAAATAAGAAAGTTGTACGGTATCACAACCATATTTAAACCATTTTCTGACACAAATGCGATTAATCATCGCCAGCCTTTTCTTCTCATACATGAAATATCTATTATACAGCAGTGTATCGCGGAAGGTGGGGAGAGGGGCACAGAGAGGATGAAAAATCTAACTCAGTAATCCTCCATGTTTCATTTCAAAGTTTCCAGAACTTTGAGACCTTCCTTGGATGATCCCAGAATGCATCCGGCCACTAATTGCAGTTGGATCCACACCTGGGCCCGTGGAGTACCCCTTTCTTCCRCGAGGATACCAGGTGTATCTTCGTCGCTTGACCTCCCGGTAAAGATAGCATGCATAGGTAAACATTCCAATCGTGGAAAGGATTGAAATTGCCAGAGCGAACTTTTGCCAYTGGGCCATTTCACCGATAGTCTCCGCGTTTGGTATGTATGTTTTCCATCCTTCTTCTCGCAAGACAATCTCTCCAAATTCATCGTACGAATTGGTCAATAGATTCTCAATAAAGTTGCAAACTATATCTTCTTGTGATTCCTGATTCGAAGACTRAAGGGAAGAAGAATTCGATAAATTCGTGAGAGGGTCAAAGGGTCGTGACAGCGGGAGGATTCAAACATGTAAAATCTTTATTGTCAACGGCAAATATTTTTTCGTACCGCATAGTCGCCGTCATTTCCCATGTAACGATTGCACTTAGCGCTATCACCATAGAGAGTGCCGCAGATGTCAGATACGGCATTATAGCCATCATCGTTGTTCCCAATCTCCAATGTGTACCCATCCTGAATTCAAAATCAAAATGCAGAGCAAGAGAAATAGTAAGAAATTGGGATCTCACAAAAACGAAAAAACTAGGAGAGCTCATTATTCTAACCGCACACATCGAAACCAGGAATAGATAGCTACTCACCGATGCTARGCAGGAGATACAATTGTCGGAGTAGTAGGATTCAAGGCCATTCTCATTAACCGACATGTAGGAAGACACCTCGCTCAAGTCAGCAGTATAATCATTGCAAGATTCGTCGCTGAAGATGCCCATACTGATTGTCTTTCCATCACTAGCACAATGTGGGCCAAGATACCCAGCACTGTTTCCAATGTTGAACTCAGCGCAACCGAAATAATCTGACAGATCGTTGTTAAGGTTCGAATAGTCCTGACAGGCGCTCTGATAATTCGAACAAGCATACTCGTAATCACAACCTTGGTCCTGATTTTGGTTTTGATTCTGATTTTGGTTCTGGTTTTGATCTCCATAGTTTCCATAATAATTGTAGAAACTGTTCTGATTATATTGATTGTGGTAATAATCGTCACCTCCCTGCGCAGCATCRTCTGACCCGTAGTTGTTGTAGCTGTTGTAGGCAGACCAGGCGTCATCATTCAGGCGCCGACCACCATTATAATCATCGTTATTGTAGTTGTTTCCGTCGTCATTGTTGTAATTGTTATAGTTGTTTCCGTCATCATTGTTGTAATTGTTATAGTTGTTTCCGTCATCGTTGTTGTAGTTACCTCCATCATCGTTGTTGTAATTTGTGTTCATGCATTCGTAACAGGTCTGGCAATATTCCTGGTACTGAGAAAAGAAAGTCTCGGCCATGGTCTGCATGTATGTTTCCATTGGAATTAAGTAGTCACCAAATTGTTCGAGGCAACCGTACTGGTTGTAATTCGAACACGAGTCTCGGGGACAAAGACGAAGGACGACAAACTTGTTCATCTTTAGGACGGAGTCGCTACCACCGTCATTTTCTGCTGCAAGGTCGTCGCTCCAGGTTCGGATATTTGAGCAGCCAATGTATTTCAAGGCATACTCAGAAAGGTCGATTGCGTAATCCTGGTATTCTTCCAAGCGACGGGGCTCTTCGGCATTGAAATCTTGGGATCGTACGTATCGTGGATTGGAACTTGCGGGTACTGCCAACTGCGCGAGTCGAGAGCGAAAGAGGTCGTCCTTTTTYTTTTGGCCTAGGGCTCGATCCATGGCCCGAACAAAGTCCGCTCGCTCCGCTTGTTTCTCGTGACTGATTCTGGCAGTGCAGGTTGTTGGGATGCTTGCTGCTCCCAGAAGCCACAGAATCGTCCACAATCGATTGAAGTTGTTCATGGTTAGTCAATAGTGTCGTGTGATGTGCAACGTGGTGTTTGGAGTCTACTGAGTAGAAGAGGCAATATGAATTTCTTTCTCTTCGCTTTGCATGCGGTACCGTTCAGTGCTACTATTCTGTTTATCTTTGGTTGGAGTCTGATACCGCTGTACGGGCTTCTAGCTTCTGAGTTTAAACTCGTACTCGTACTGGTTCTACGGCAAGTGCAGTAACGTTTTCTTGTTGTCGTCTGACGGGCATTGGGAGGAGAAGCAATAATTGAAAAGTATCTCGGCCGGCCTACCGTTACCAGTACCGTATGCCGAGGGTGTTTCAAAAATAACCGTTACGACAAGATAGACCTAGTCGCGTAGACCAACGACAGAGTTGGCAACGCTCTATTTGCAATGAATAATGCCACCGATCAGGATTTTTCCAGTATTTTATCGGCGGATTTTATTATCCCCTGATTTTCATAACGGTACCGTTATAAATTCAATAATTCATACCGAATAGATTTTCATCCTTAGGAATTTCAAAGCAATTGATTCGTTTCTCCCCTGTTTGTAAATGATGATTTTCATTATTAAAGCCTCCCCTAAAAGCCCACATTCGTTTAACCTTGGCCAAATCATGTACAAATAGAGTTAATTCAGAGTAAAATTACAGCTAGAATTAACGAATGAATTTTTGCCACCCACTACTGTAACTTTGGCTGACTAGTTCTAAGCCCCTAGAGCGTCCTTTGGCTTCTCGTCAATGTCTTGGATCTGTAAGTAATTGTATCATCTTGGTCTGGGCACTTACTAGTACTAGTCTGGTGGTCTAAAGTTGTTTTTTGATAGAGTTCTGGCCTATTTCCTACTATGTAGCCGGTCTTGGGAACCGGCCAATTTTGGCCATACCGRCTGTTAATAGAGAACCGGCTCCCCCCTGGCCCCTAATCATGTAACAATGACACACAGCAGCACTCTTCTTCTGAGCATATCACCAAAGGGGATCTCATTACAGGACTTTTCCGGAGCTGTTGTGTTTAGCTATTTTAGCTTATTGAACTGTTTGTAGTCCAAAAGATGACCAAAAACCAGTAGATGTGTGTAGGATCAGTACTTAAAAACTGGGCTTCAAAATTAACTGTGATTTTACTAGTAATAATTTTTGGGGTTTGAGTAGAATGCCTTTTTGTCCAGTAGAGTGTGGTAGGGTTTTTACAGTTAACACATTTTACTCCGAATTWATTTGTACTCATTTTTTAGTAGTACCATTTAATTTGCAATAAAATGCATTAAGTGTAAAAAACCCTACCATGACCTACATGGCAAAAAGGCATTCTACTTGAAACCAAAAATTATTACTAGTAAAAATTATTACTAGTAAATTCACCATGAATTTTGAAGCCCAATTTTTCCGTAGTACTAGTACTATCAGACCCTACATAGATCTACTACTAGTATTTGGTCACTTTTTTGACCACAAACAGCAGCAGTTCAACAATGAGTGAGCTAGTACCCACAACAACAGCTCCTAGTATAGAAAGGCCTCTAGTACTACAAGTACTACTAATAATTTCTCGCTCCCCCTTCTGCTGGGATATGCTTGGTCATAGTAGTGTTAGGAACAAGAGTGCCCTGTGAAAGCATTGTTACACAAATAGGAGGCCTKGGGGATCCAGTTCTCCATTAATATCCAGTATGGCCAAAATTGGTCAGGAGTTGTTTCCAAGACTGGCTGTGGTATAAAGAGACCAGAACTTTATCAAAAAACAACTCTAGTACTAGAGCACCAGCAGACTAAGTGCCAAGTCCACCAAGTTGATACAATTACCTAAAGGTTGGTGCATTGGGAAGCCAAAGAATGTTCTAGAGGTTTAGAAATAGTATGGCAAAGTTACACTAGTAGTGAATGGCCCAATTTTGCATTAATTTWAGGGGTCACTTTATTGCAAATTACTTGTAACAAACAGCAATCATTGGGGTTTTTCGTAACAAGAGCTGAAAGTCCAAATTAAAATGAAAAGACAATGGTATTTCTTTATGTACTAGTACTTGCAACAATTGCATGAGGGGGCAACAAGAGGACCATACTATCCTTTGTCATCCACTCATACTACTAGTACTAGTAGTACTAATAGTAGTATTGCTAGTACTACTAGTACTAGTACTAGTATAGCAGTATCACCATGACAACAAGAACAACAAGAAATGTCATCAAAAGTTTCAAAATATTAGTACCAAAGACATAGTACTTCTAGGCTTGCAGTGAATACCATGCCTGCTGCTAAGAACACTTCATCAGTAGTATTAGACCCCACACCCTGCTGTACTAGTAGCTACTAGTCAACTTTCAGCAGTTTTTTTCATCTAGTATTTTCAACAAAGTTTATCTAAAAGAAGTATCTTCTTCTTTGCTCTTCTTTGTCTTGTGTTATGTTGTTACAATGACCAATTCATACACTGGTAGAAAGAATACTGTCTCCCATTGTGATGCCTATCATATGGGGTATGCATGAATAAATTACAATCAGTGAGAATGTTTTGAGAATAACAAGAATGATGACTGTGTTGACAATGGTGAGTATTGTTCAACAGATGGTTTGGATGAAGAAGTCATTGAGGACAGTTACTAGTGATTGTTGATGTTATTAAAAGTTGACATCAGGAATGATGGTGGTGATGAAGTGTATTTTCTTATATCAAAGGCTTGTGGGCAAATGCATGGGGTTTAGTTGTGTGAGGAGAGAGCACACCTAAAAAAAGATCTTTATTGGAAGGGTACCATAACCTGTGGGAGTGGCTATCTAATAGTAGAGATGTAAACCAAGTGCTAGAAGAAAAGTGAGTTGATCCTCTTATTGAGAATCAACCAACTATGAAGTCTGAAATTCATCAAAGTGGAAGTTGATTGATGATTGTGAATTGAATGAGTCAAGTCAATCATGAAGATCCATAGGATCCAGTGAATGATGGTAGAGTATATATGGATCATGTATACATATATATATCATAGGTATGAGATATCGTATAGCGTGGGCCACGTGTTTCCGGCCAAAATTATCGTACATTTTTGAATATGGATATACGTACATGTATATCAATGAATATTCGTCAGACGCCGTACTCCCGCACGGCTTTAGAAAGCTCTTTCAATTCTCTTTTCAACCATGTGCTTACCATACTTAAGCGTCCGTTGGGTGAAAAGTTATAGCTGTTCGAGTGAGTTGAACCTCTCTTATTGCCCTACGTGTTTTTTGTACTGTGGGTCGATTTTGGGCCATCTTTTTACCGTGTAATGACTCGTGGGATTAAAAATTTGACTTGTACTAGGCCTACAGCATGCTGCACGTGAAAGCAAAAACTATTTTGCACATGCGCGAAACTATTTGGTCGCATGAATGTGGGATTCAAAAATTCAGCACGTGCTGGCTGTATACTCCAGTACAAGCCAATTTTTTAATCCCACAAGTCATTACACCACGGTAATTAGATGGCCCAAGAGGTACGATATTATCGTACATTTGCTGGCCAACTCTATACGATATATACCAGTATGATATCTTGCAGACAGCATTTGGTTCACAATTGAACCTGTGAATTGATTGTATTTCTTGTTCATTTGGTACTAGTTGTACATGCAGTGCAATATATTCTTGAAGAGTCTTCAGAACTACATGCATTCTTTCCACAGAACAACTTGTTTCACCAATACTAATTATCCTATATGATAATATGACCACCATCACTGTTGAGATGTTGGTGGGAGACAAGTTCTCTGTTGAAAAGTCAGTTGGATCCCATTATGTTTATCACTCAAAATTAACATTTGTTGTAAATTTTGGTGTACCTTTTTGCTGAATTTTGGATAGTCTGACCCAAAACATTGTAAGATATTTTTGCCTGAAGTGTCTTGCAATCAGAGATGCATGCCATTAAAAACATAGATTTGATTGCCAACTCTCATGATAGTTTCTTCTTTAACTAAAGCCAATACCTGAATACATATCACAACATTCTCTATTACAATGATCTAACAATGGATGATGTGTACTCAAGAATTCGAATGAAAGATGATGTGGAACAAGCGTAAAAGAATCATTTTTCTATTTGCAATTCCCAAGTAAACTCTTATTCCTTGTAAAATAKATACATAAAGTAGCGAATCATAGACTACAATAGTTATGGCTTCTGGAACCATTCTCCTTTTTCTCTGTCAATGAATTCAGAGAAAAAAACTTGAACATCATCCATTTCACCGAATTTTTTCATAAAAGATTCGTGATCATCTGGTTCTCCAATGCAGAATATGCTAGTCCCACTTCCTGACATCATTACGTGCTTAAATCCTGACACCTTCAGCAGAGATTCTTTGAGTTCTCCGAGTCTTGGTACACATCGAAACGCTGGCGGTTCTAGATCATTTACGTAATATTCAGCCGACACATTTTCAACTCCCTCGGCATCTAAGAAAGCAGGCAGCAGCACATCATCTGGATCCATATTGCTCAACTCATCATAATCCAGGGCTTTGAAGACAGACGGTGTAGATAGGCCGACATCCGGTTTCACTATGCACACCTTTGTTCCGGTCGGCAAAGGTGGATCGATAGGCGTCAAGATTTCCCCTCTTCCGGTGCAGTAGGCTGTACCTTGACTAAGGAAGAAAGTTATGTCGCTTCCCAACGCACCCGACCATTCGATCATCTATAAATCGTTGGCARAGTCGTGGTGAAATATGAAATATTAGAAAAATCGACGTGAAGATTATAAATTGATCAGATGCCATCACRAACAAATTTTCGGAGCAATTCAACAGCAAGGGCTTACTTGTTCCAAAGATGCCGGTCTACCCATGAGTTCGTTCGCACCCCACATGGCAGTCGCTGCATTGGCAGAACCGCCACCCAAGCCGGCTTGGGCAGGACATTTCTTGATCAAATTGGTCTTGAAATACATATTCACACCTGTTTTTTCCCGCATCAGATCCAAGGCTCTTAAAACCAAGTTTGTCGAGTCAACCGGGACACCAGGCATGTTACACGTGAACTCGTCGGATCCCTCTCCTTCGTCGGCAGTTTCCCCCAACGGCGTCAATTCGAGAGTATCGCCGAAACCGATGGCCTGAAAGAGACTAGCTAAATCATGGAAGCCATCTTCTCGCTTTCGAATAATTCGTAGAAATAGATTAATCTTACAGGGACTGAAGAGCTCGAGTGTTTCTTGGTTTTCCTGCGACGATGCCGACAACGACGATTGTCTGAAGACATGATTGGGTTCGACTACTGCGAATCCTTGAACCGAAGACGTAGTGGTCAAAAGTCCAAAATAACAGCACCAGAGAATAAATGATGAAATCAGATTCGACATTGTTTGATGGAGCACGTTGGTTGTTTCGTTCGACTAGAAAGCAATTCTTTATTTTGTTCTGTGCGAATGAGAACTCAGTGTCTCAAACGATTTTTAACATGGTAAATGAATCTTGAATCCTTATTGAACGGCACTTTTGTTCAATACGCAGAAACCGATCATCAAGTGTGAAAGGTGATGCGTTGGAATGTGTTGCCATTGAAGTTGGACGCAATACCGTAGTACGTTCTTACGGTACGGTACTACGATTACAAAGCAGAACGGGAAGGGGATAGGGGAAACTTTAAATTTTATGGTCGAACTTTTCTGATACATGCGTGCTGTCTACGACACAGTTTAGACTGTGTACAGGCAGGAGAAGACTGTAACAAAGATCCTCAAGGCTCTTGCAAAGCATGGAAGGGAAGGGGGACACTCATTGTCATAATAGCTGRTTGATTGCTGCATATTTTTGGTCTCTTCTGCTCCTAATAACATACGCATCATTGCTTCGTTGCTTCTTGTTGGACTGGATGCTGGTGTGTTGCTTTCTTGTTGCTTCTTCACTGAACGCGGTGCTTGGACTGGACACGTTGCTTTGATGTTTTGTTGCTTGGACTGGCTGAATGCGTTGCTTGGTCTGGATATGTTGTCAACGTGTTCTTTTGCTTGGACCCGTTCCTTTGCTTGGACTGACTGGATGTGTTGCTGTTTTTGACGCTTTCTTCTTGTTTGGACGCGCTGCTTGCACTGCTGCTGGAGAGAAGGCTCCTTGTGGATTGGTTCTCTGTGTCATTGTTGTTGTTGTTGTTGCCATTGTCGTTATTGTTATCATTTTATTTGTTAGTTGTCCCCCCTTACATTGAAAAAAAAGGTGGTGGTGCTGGTGCTGGTGCTCTTGCTGCTGATGATAATGCTACTAGTAATGATAATGCTGCTGACAATGCTGTTGTGGTTCAGATAAATATTGCTCTACTAGGTCATCAAGGCAGTCTTTCCTTTATGGAAGGTC